TCAACCGCCTCAGTTCCTGGCTCCTTGGAGGTAGGCCTAGGCTGGGAGGAAGGTCGTTTTTGTATCTAATTTCAATGCAATTTTAATACTATTACTACTACTGTTTCTATTACTTCTACTACTACTACTACTCCTACTACTCCTACTCTTACTAATATTACTTCGACTACTACTACTACTACTATTACTACTACTACTACTACTATTACTACTACTGCTACTATTACTTCTACTACTACTACAACTATTACTACTCTTACTACTGCTATTACTACTACTGCTATTACTATTACTACTACTATTACTTCTACTACTACTACTACTATTACTACTCTTACTACTACTATTACCACTACCACTACTACTACTACTACTACCACAACTAGGTTGCAAGAATTCTAATTAACGAACATGTTTCTCAAGCAAATGACCCTCACCGATGATTCTAAGGCTATGAACATGGGTGCATTGCAGACCTGTGGCCAGTACTTCCTGGTGGCAGCGATTCGGGAGACAGGATCGACGAAGCGGCCGGCGCAGGGCAGCATCAGCATGAAGAAAGAGTGTGAAGAGGGTAGGCTCGAGTTTTTTTTTCTCTCTCTCTCTCTCTCTCTCTCTCTTTTTTATTTTTCTGGTTTGTTTTGTTTTGGTTTGGGTTTGTTTCTTGTTTTTCTTTTTTCTTTCTATATTTATTCTTTTTTGTTTCTTTTTTTTATTATCTTTCTTTCACATTTCTTTCTCTTTCTTTTTCTTTCTCTTTCTTTCTTTGTTTTTCCTTTCTCTCTTCCTTCCTTCTTTTTTCATTTCTTTTCTTTCTTTTTCCTTCCTTCTTTTTTTCTTATTCTTTCCTTCCTTTATTTTTTCTTATTCTTTCCCCCTTTTTTCTTTCTTTTTTCTTTCTCTCTTTCTTTCCTTTCTTATATCTCGTTTCCTTCGTTCATTCTATCTTTCTTTCGTATGACCTGGTGTTCGCATCGATGAATTCATGTTCCATTTTTTCAAGTACGAAATCATGTTTTATTTATCTCCTGGCGGAATATAATGAATGGGTGAAGCACAAAACTCACCATCTTGAAATTTTTTTACCTTTTCTTATCTCAAAAGATATCGATCTCAAGTGGTTTTTGGAAATCAACGAAGAGGAAGGAACGCCTGACTTGTACATGGCTCCAGGCAGTAACGTCGTTGCGAAAGGTAGGTTAAGTTGCAAAGGGTCATTGTTGTTTTCTGAATTAAATGCCGTGTGTGTGAGTCTTACGAGCAGTTGTATAAAGCTGTTAACGTGCTGTTTGCTTCTCTACACACACACACACACACACAGACACACACACACACACACACACACACACACACACACACACACACACACACACACACACACACACACACACACACACACACACACAGATATATATGTGTGTGTGTGTTAAGATACTCATTATAATACTCATGCTGTTGTGTTTTCTGCCACTTTTACGATGCAGGTGGGAAGCTGAGTATCCTTAACACTGGAGGTGGAAACCTGGCCCTTCGTTCAGCCGTGGACACGCCCGAGATCGCAGCTTACCTCGGGCCCAGGTCGTGGGACTGGGACCTCCAGTATAAGTTCCAGTATCGAAACGGGTAAGCTGATGGAACTTGTGCAGGGATGGCATTAGGGTGCGAATTCCTTGCTCCGGTCAAATAATGTGTTAACCGAACGGCTTCTGCCCCGAAGAGATTTTTTTATAACATGCAGGTTGTTTTCAAATATCTTTTCCTTTCTAGGAGCTCTCTTCAAGAAGTTATGGAAAGTACACTAGCCAGTCATCGTGAGTACTTCGATGTCTATAATGTTGAAGACTTCATCCAACTTAAAGGCTGGAGTACGGTACTTGTGGATATTAACGCAGCGACCAGTATCGGTAAGTTTAAGGGCCAGGGAATCAAAAAAAATATAAGTTGGGATGGGGGACACAAACGCATAAATGGAAGCAGGAACGCCCTACCAGTATTGATATTGCTGAAAGGGTGGAATAGAAATATCAGAATATGAACGGGATATTCCACGAAAGTAAGTACGATCCAAATTTCTAAACAAACTCTTCTTTTTTTCTTTTTCAGACCTTCCAGCTGGTGGGAATCTGGAGATGGACTTGGAGATGCTTGAAGCCCCGAAGAACATCCCGTGCATCGACGAAATCGGCCTCCTGGTGCTTGTTATCGACCCTCAGAATAAGACCAAAGATTCCAACGTGACAAACAACGTAGCTGTTTTGCCAGTTGGTCTATCCTGCGAAAGCAGTGAGTCTCTTTTTCCATTAGTTTTTGTGTATTTATTCACTCATTTGTTTACTTTCATGTGGTAGTTCAGCGTGATTGTTTCTTGTAAGTGAATAATCCCTTTGAGATTATTTACTTACAAGAAACAATGAAAGAATGGGAATAGAGTAGCATGAAAACCAATGAGGCTCAAATGGCATGCACACCATTTTGGAAAAAAAAACACATTTTCAAAGTT